AGCTGGAAAATCGTGGCGAGATTGAAGAACTCGAAGTCATGCTAGTCCTTTTGGAGTATACAACCGCTCCTCAAAGTATAAAAGATCTCCCTCCACCTTGTCGTCATTGGTACGCTACTTGATATCAATGGCTACTGAATCTTCAATGGTTACAACACGTACCTGGTTCAGGAAGTCAGCATCAATTGGCACAATAGTAATGCAAAGCCGAAATTGCTTTGGCTTCAATAACGTCATGCATTGTTGATCAAACGTTGCTTTTCTAACCTTTGATATAAGATACAATGTCCTTGATAAGGCATCGGATAGTCCTTGCTACTTTCCAGGTCGATAAGTGATAACAAAATCGAATCTAGATAGCAACATACTCCACCGAGCTTGACGTCGATTTAGAACTCGAGCCGATATGAAATACTCCAAATTCTTGTGATCAGTGTATATGGTCACTGGGTGTGCAGCTCCTTTAAGAAAGTGACGCCATTCTTGGAAAGAATCCACTATAGCAAGAAGTTCCTTATCGTGGATCTCATAATTGATTTCAGCAGCAGAGAACTTTTGAGAATAGAATGCAACTAGATGGAGCTTCTTGTCTTCTCTCATTTGTGAAAGTACAGCTCCCAAAGCAAAATCCGAAGCATCAATTTCTAAATAGAGGGCCTTTGTAAAGTCTGGATGTACCAAGATTGGAGCCGTAGTAAATGCCCTCTTCAAGTCTTGAAACGCCTTCTCTATTAGAGGTCTCCATTCCAGCTTATCCTTGCAATTCAATCAAGTGAGAGGAGCAGCAACTTGAGAGTAATTCTTGATGAAGATTCGATAGAAGTTAGCAAAGCCAAGAAAGCATTGTACATCTCTAACCGTCTTTTGAACCTCCCAGGACATGATTGCTTCCACCTTCTTGGGGTCCATCTTCAAGCCTTCCGTAGTCGCTACGAATCCCAAAAACTCCATCTCTATTTAGTAAAATAAACACTTCTCCAACTTGGCATATAGTCCTCGATTGCGTAGTTTCTCCAAGACCAAACGAACGTGCTTTTCATGCTCTTCCTTGTTTTTGGAGAATATCAGAATATCATCCAAGTAGATGACAACAAAATCATCAAGGTGCTCTCAAAAAATGTCGTTCATCATATATTGGAAGACTGCTAGAGCATTGGTAAGACCAAAGGGTATGACATTATACTCAAAATGGCCATACCTTATACGGAACGCTGTCTTCGACTCATCTCCTTTTTTGATTCGTACGAGGTTGTAAGCTCTCCTTAGATCAATTTTTGTAAAGATCTTTGCACGTCCAAGTTGTTCTAAGAGACCAAAAATCAAGGGTAACGGGTAACGATTCTTCTTAGTTATCTTGTTGAGGCCTTAATAGTCCACACCCATCCGCAACGAGCCATCTTTCTTCTTCACAAATAAGATGGGTGCCCCAGCTGACGATTTTGAATGACGGATGAAGTTCTTGGCTAGATTCTCATCGATGTACTTCCGCAACTCCGCCAACTCTGTCTGCGATAGATTATAGATTGAGCCAAAAGATGGTTGTGCTCCTTCCTACAAGTCTATGGCACAATCATATGGTCGGTGTTCCGATAGCATGTCGGCATTCTTCTTTTGAAATACGTCTTTAAAATCCTTATATTGCTCCGGTATACTTGTTGTCGAGATCTTCTCTCTAGTACTTGGAGCCGCATAAAGGAAAAATGGTGCGCCTTCCTTGGACGATCTTATAACGCTCTTGCTTCAATGAATAAGGATTTCTCTATTCAGGGTTTTCTACTAGGCTTGCTCTTAGATGATTTTGTGAGAAAGGTCATCTTCCGCAACTTCCAATCTATAGATGGGTTATACTTTTCCAACCAGGAAAGACAAAGAATAATAGGATTTGATGGGATTCTAATAATATTGAAAATAATATGGCTACTATGGCCCTTAAACGTTACTTCTATAGGTTCTGATTCATGGGTGACACTACCAGACAATAAAGGTCGCCCATCTATGACCTCAACGTGAATAGGTTTGGATTTTTGTACTAAAGGGATCTTATGACGCTTCGAAAATTCTTCATCTAAGAAACAAGCAGATGCTTTTAAATCTAATAATGCTAAGGTTCTTAGTTTTTGAGGGCCAATAAAGAAAGAGATTGTAAAAGAAAGGGCAAGTTGAGCGGAAAGAAAAGAACCTGATTGTTGTTGCGATATTTCACTGTCCAGCCGCACGGTTCCTATTGTGGCTGAGCATCCTTGTTTTCCTGAAGAAATGCGCCCCTGGTCCTGACAATGTGTCAATTTTGCTTCTTAGGGCAGTTTCTAACTTTGTGGCCTTTTTCACCGCAATATAAGCATAGTCCTTCTTCCATACGCCACTTTTTTTCTTCTAGAATAAGGGATTTGACACGTACCGCATCAATTTGCATGTCTTCTACCTCTGAATGTGAATTCACACTGCTTGCTGACATAGTTGAGGCCTAACAAACTATATGTTGTCTTAAGCGTTGATCTTGGCGACGTTGGAATAGGCAGTTATTGCACTTCACATCTTGGCTAATAGCTTCGTTGAGCATTTGCGGATCAGGAAGAGTTAGCTGCAAATCATTCACATTGTCCCTTAAATCCCAATAGAATTGACTCATCAATGCTTCTTCGTCCCAATTGATGTCGCATGCTAGTTGCCTAAAATCTGATGCATAGACTGATGTAGAGCGCATCCCTTGTCGTAGTGACTGGATCTTTGTTGTAGCTCATCGAACCTTGTCGTGTTCACCAAATGCTTCCGCAAACGCCTCCAAGAAGGTTTCAAAGTTGTTTAGTATGGATGATCGTTTCTCAAACAAAGGAGCAAACCATGATAGAGCTTGCCCTGTAAGTAAGGTTCCAACAAGCCCAACATGTGACTCCTTCGTTGGATAGCGTTCGGACTGTAAAACTGTTATCAACCTGATTTGATTGACAAATCCTCGAAACTTGGAACGCGTACCATCGAACTTGTCCGAAAGGCTAACTCGGGGCTCCTTATGTTGTAGAACTAATGGTGCTTGTCAAACTTGAGGCAAAGTTGTTTCTCCAAGTGTAGAAGTTTGAGGCTGGTGCAACCTAGATTGTGTCGTCTCAGATGCTCTATCATTATGAAGCCTTGCCACGACTCCTTCAATTTCTGCAGTTCTTTGTGATAACGTATCGAGGACATTCATGATAGCATCCAACTTGAACTCCAAACTTTCTGTCATACTAATGTCTTGGCCTCCAGCCATTCTAAAAGAAGAACAGAAATGACTCTATAAGAAGACAATATTGGTTTAGAAGAGGGTACTCCGCAACCTCTAAAACGCCTTAAGAGCTTCAAGAAAAGGGGTAATTCACTCTCTCCAATAAGAATAAGACTCCAATATTGTAACAAAAGAAGTATCAGTTTAGAGGAGGGTAATCCGCAACCTCTAAAATGCTAGTACATCTTCAAGCAAAGGGATAATCCACACTCTAACGAGGAAGAAACTAGCTCTGATATCTAAGGTGAGTTCAGTCTCGACAAACTGTCACGGACACAGAAATACAAGCTTGAGATCTAACAAGAAGTTCAAGAAGAACTAACAAGAACTAGATTAATCAGATGAATATAAGAACAACACCAGAGAGGTGAGCTAGAGCTCCAAGAGATGTGTTGTCGAGACTGAAGAACTCTTCAGCCTCGATTCCAATATATACTCCTATTTAGGAAGCTTCTCAAGCAACTTCTACCAATTAGGAAGCTTCTCAAGCGACTTCCACCAACTAGGAAGCTTCTCAAGCAACTTCCACCAACTAAGAAGCTTCTCAAGCAACTTCTACCAACTAGGAAGCTTTTCAAGCAACTTCCACCAACTAAGAAGCTTCTCAAGCGACTTCCACCCACTAAGAAGCTTCTAAAAGGTTCCAGAGACTTGCTTCTAGAAGGTTCTAGAAACTTGTCTCTAGAAGGTTCTAAGGACTATGTCCGTAACAGCAACATGTAATTTAATAAGAACATACAAAAGCTAAGTAGAAATCGTATAAAAATAATAAAAGCTAAAAATTAAGGTATAAAAGATAAATAGGTGGTGAATTTTATAAAAAATAAAAAGTGCCAACTTAATTGGTAGTATGCTTTTAAAGCCAATATATTTCAGTAAGATATATAAGAATATAATTTTGTTTATAAAGATGAAATTTATAAATGTATACAAAAATATTATAAATAAATAAAACCTATTATATTTTTTTGATATTTAGAAATATAAGCATGGAAAATAATTATAATTAAAATTTTTAGTATTCTATTATATAAATAATAAGTATTAATCTTTATTCTATATTCTTATAAATGATTAATTAAGTGTCTAGCTAATGTGTTGAAGAAATATTAGTTTTAAAATAAATTAAGTATTTATTTAACTTATTTTTAAATTATACATTCATTATAATCATATTTATTCTATATGAATTCTATTATTAAACTAAAGTTATATATTTTAGATTTTAGACTAAATTATTTCATATTTTATTTTAACTAATTCATTTCTATATTTTAGATTTGAAATGTATGCTTGAAGAGGTATTTAAATTAGTTAATTTATAAAATTTAAATTCTTAGTTAATTTTTATAAAATTTTAGATTTTATTTTTATAGTTAGATTTTTAATATTTTGGAAAATTAAAAGTTTGTACTGATATTGAATAAAATACATCAAGCAAGGGTATGATAGGCAATACCAATGTACATTGCATGATTAATAGCAGATATCAAATCTAATTTTCGGTTATTTTGAAAAAAATTAAATTTATTTTTATCATTATTTTAATGTTGATTTTTATATTGTACACATCTATTCATTCAACAAACCATATTCATCCGCCTACCCATCCAGAAAGATTCATTCATCCACCAATCCATAGTTTAATTCATCCATCCATGAGCAAGCGGGGGTCAAGTCTCCGTCGCCGCATGGGAGAAGGAGCTATGATCCAACGCTGTGGGGCTGGGACAGAGCTATTTTGCTACACCCTTCTTTCTGCTCCGACTCCCTCTACTTCCAAGTTTCCCACTCCCCTGACACACGCTCCCGCATGCACGCACCGCGACCGAACGAGCCAGTTCTAGCAATTTCTGTTGCTTGGTCGATCGGTCGGTCGTGAAGAGCGTCCAATATTGCGTGATTGATAGGTGAGCGAGGTATTCAGAATGAGAGCTCTGAGTATGGTGTTCAAATAGCCATTCTGCCGTTGTCAAATTGCACGAATGGCCTCAGTTCTGCCTTCCCTGCAGTCCCCGTCGCACCTCTGGCGACGATGTCCCTCCCTTTCTTTGCTGCGTCCTGCACAATCCCGCTTAGTTCGGTATACGTTACCTTCTGGCAGGTCTACGGTTCCATCCTCCGAGCCTAATAAATTAGCTATTGGAAGGTCAGCCAGGATAAAGATGCTTCGTACCCTAGTTGCGCGGGGTAGGCACAGTTTCTGCGACGGCAAGAGGACGCCCAGCTCATTGCCTTCGTCTGTTTCTACTAGCGTATCTACATGGTGTCATTTTTCCGGTTCGACATCAGGTATGCATCGAGTTTTTTTTTCAAGGATTTTCTGTTTTCGATGGTTGCATCTGAGTAGTTCCCGTGTCTGATCTATCTTCGACTCGAGTAACCACAGTAAATTCGCAATTTTAATGCACACAATTTCATAATCACACATCCTCCATACCTCTCTGTACTGATTTAGTTCCAACTTACGATTCCCCTGGAAATAATTTGTTCGGATATGCGGAACACGAATAAACATAAGTGACTATTGCTTTCAATTTCATGAAATCTGAGTTGCACTCAATCACAAGTGTTTGATAAGAGTGCGTGATTTCTAAATTACTTAATGTACATCAACGTTGAAATGTCCGTACTTCCAGTTTGACAAATTTTTCTGGTGATAAGTTGAAACTTGGCATATGCTTTAAATTACCAGACTTTCTGGATCTCTCGTCTTTTTAACAAGCAATTCACTGTGCACGTGTATTCATCTTTAAAAACTGTTTGTACAGATATAACGTGGGACTGCAGAATTTCCATTGGGATTTAGTTCCTAATTGGGACTAATCCAGAGGTTTGAAGAAACCTTTAATCTTAAACCCTTAAACCCTGAGACTCTGAGCAATAAATGCTGTGACATATTGAAAAAAGGAAAAGAACAAGAAAGAACAAAAATTCATGTACGCAACTGAGTTTCGCTAGGAATCAACTTGGAGTTTTTCATGTTTCATGTTTCATGTTCTACGTCCTGGAAATATCTTTTGTTGTTTTCGTTATTCATCCTGTGTGAAAGAACTGACTTTAGGCTTGTTATTCTGCCACCTGCATAAGGGTAACAGCCATCATTGGATTTCATGTACTGCACGTACAAAATGATTGCGATGGATTTGTTTACATCTAGAACTAGTTGCCAAAATTTTTAATACTTCTTGTGTGCACAATTAGTTGTACATGTAAAACTGGCTTTTAAGTAACTTCATTCATTATATTTGCAACAGTTGACAAGCTCACTAGGAGAAGGTCTTTATCCCAAGTTTGCACTAGTTCCGAAGGAGAGGTAGTGGTAAGGACTTTCCTCTACCGGACACTTAAATTGAAAGACTTTGAATGTTTTGTGTTACCCTCACATCTATGGTAGTTCTTGGTTTTATTTTAGTTTTAGCTGGAGCTTGGGTGATGGTGAAATCTGCAGGTAGTGGATGACGGGAAGTTGTTAAAGGCTATTGTATATGAAGCTCAACACGGTTTCTCCAATGTTTCAGGCTTAGCCTCTCGGTAAGCTGTATGCATCTTCACGAAACTTGTTATGTTCCTACGAATGGATCATCCACATCTTTCTGTTTTATGATGCATTCTGACCACGTAACTGTTGACTTGGGATTCTGGTAGATCATTTTAGTCCTATGTTAGGAAGCATGATTTTTTCAAGTACTTTATGTCATGTTTTTCAGGTTTGGGGAATTTTTGTATGCACAACTTTCCCTTAGGTCGGCAACAGGTGGAAATGTTTTTTCATCTTTGGAAAACGATGCCAGGAGATACGATGAATTGGATTCCGTAAATCGTGCTCAACTTTTGGACAAAGTATGCCTGCACATCATCAAGTAATTTTGTGGTTTATTCTGTCCGTTGTGGTCGTGGTGACGACGACATAGTTGTATTTGGTGTCGAAGGTCTTGATTTTATTCAATTTTTTCTCTCGACAGTCTTATGAACCTTCATAAGCCGTTATCCTAACTGTGTTTTTTGAGCAGGTAGCTCAAGCGATGGGTTTTCTCAACACTCAAGATCTTTTTGCTCATCACATTGCCTTACGGGAAGCCAGCATTGGCCTCCAAGATCTATCTAAGTACTCATCTGAAATTCCTACTGCAACTACAGCGACAGTAACGCAAGAAGAAGCACCTGATAGTAATCACAACAGTAATAAATCAGCACCGTTTTCCAAATCATTTCCTTCATCAATAAAGTTTGGAAGTAGTGAGCCGATTATGCTGTACAAATCCACTGTGGATGGCAAGGGTAAGGGCTCTACAACCAAGTTGAAGGTGAATGCTAAGATAGCGAAGTCTTCTGAGACGATCGAGAGTCAGACGAAGGGATCAAATGATAAAGCTGTGCGGCAAACCAAACAAAAATTTGCTAGAAACTCAGTGGCCACAGCTTCAACGCTTGATGCTAGGATCACGTCCATTGCTGATATTGGAAGCTCGGATACCCACAATAGAGAGTCCGACTTTGTTTCTTCCTCCGTGGAAATAAATAGTACTGAGCTGATGTTGATGAGGGGAGCTGCTAACTACAAAGATTGTGTGCTTGACATCCCTTTAAAATTTGTCAAGAACTTATCAGTATATCAGCGTACACGATTGGAGGAGAATGGGTTCCACACGGTAAGTTTGGAGATTAGGTGCATGTAGCCAGCTTGAGAAAATAAAATTAATTGTATTACGAGGATGACATTTCAACATGGGAATGTTTGGCATCCTATTACTTCACTCCACCATCCTCTCAACATCTAAGCAAGCTGAACTCTAATTCAGCTTATTAACTACAACAGAAAAAATCGAGGCGCTAGTAGATCTCACAAAGTTTTCTTAGCTCTGAAATTTGCACATACGAGAGTTTTATGTTGCTCCAAGTTTTAATGAGCAAATTTTGCATGTCCAGCTGCGGATGCTGCTTCAGCACTTTCCTAGAACGTATGTGAATTTTCAGCAGGCTGGGCAGAGAGTCGAAGATGGGCAGCACCTAAGTTTTGTTGGAACCATCATGTCCTCCAGGTACTTTCTAGTGTTGCTCTTGATAAACTACTTATTATGTGTAACAATTTTCATGTTTGTTCAAGCAGTGATCTTATCTTAAAACATATTTAAAATTGTCTTCTTTTGTACTTGGCATTTGAGGGGGCACACAATTTCTAATCCTTGTAATTACATGCTGACAAACTTTGAAAGAGTTTGTGCTGCAGTCTTTTTTAACATCAGGGTCTGGTCATCCTATTACGTGTATGTGTGTGCTACCTGCAGAGGTCTCCGGTTGTCGCCAAGCCTTGGCGCAATCGAAGTAATCGTCAAGAGTAAGGTTGATGCTCAGGACCCTTATGACGAGCATTCTGATGAAATCAAATCCCAACACGGAAAAACAGTGTTTCTCCATCTTAAGAAGTTCTTCAGGGGTGCTCGTTTTACGACTTCGTGGTTTTTGAACAAGATGGCCGCAAAGTATCCTGTACATTCACAAGTTTCTGTGGGTGGCAAAGTGAGTCTCCTAGTTCTCTGCAGATAGCACGATTCAGCTGGGAACATTGTGTCTTAGCAGATATCAGTTTTATGATTCTTGGTTGTGGCATTAGTTTGAATGCCTGATGGACAGAGCTCTCATTACGTTTGTTCAATAATATTCTGGTGATGAAAAGATAGTATCGTGGACACTTAGAAGTATGTAGATGCACATTGATTCGAGTTGTCTGCACAGCATACAGGCAAACTAGAAGACTTAATCCCCAGAATACCAACATTCAAATGGATGGCACGTTTTAGAGTCATCCCTAGTTGTCGCTCACAGAAATGGGCTGCTACAGGTCAAAGCATTGCCTCGTGAGGATCATTTCGAGATTAGGGAATATAATCTGGAGCTCTGGGACCAGGATTCCAACGACTCCACTCTGGATGGTAGTGACGAGGTGAAACTTGAACTGGAGATGGTTGGAAAACCCTACCCTGTCTATCCTTCAAAGGGTGGTTTGCAACCTAAAACGCTGGAGTTCTGTATTCAACGGTAGTCTTTTGCTTCATCCTCGTCTTGTGCGTGATTCTGCCATATGTCTTAGCATTTCAAGAATATGGTGTAAGCCAGCAATATGTCTCCAAACCTGTACTATAAGCTGCGACATGTAAATCTGGAGTTCTATATGTGTATATGAAGCTCCAAATTTGTAAATAGTAATTTATTTTGCAGATTGTTGCCGACCCTTCCATTGGATCTCGATCCTTTACCGAAACACATCCGTGAAAAGCATAGAACTGTGGAATTACGTCAGGTATTTAATGTGCTCTCATTATGACGATATCTGCTGAATTTGGACACATGTTCTAAATTTGTTGCTCAAAGTTGAATTCTTCTCCCTTTTAGGATGTTTGAAGCTTTGTGAACAATGTGGTGTCAGTATTCTGCAGCGGACGAATTTTGCAGCTTGATTGTTGTTTCTTGCCATGTATCGGCTTCTACATTTTAATGCTTGTTCACTGTTTTGTATTGTAAATAGGGGTTTAATTGAAACCTATAATAATTTGTTTCCCAACTTACAGTTTCATTGTAAGTTTGATTGCAGGCATACTTTGGAATACACACTCCTCAGGATGCAAAGGATGCTGAACAAGCTCGTCAGAGACTTGTGTTTGATGAGTTCTATTACCTTCAGGTTTTCGCCCTTGTGCTAGCTTGAAACATTTGGATTGCATGTAAAATCTGACAAACGACCTGTCGGTTTGGTCGCCCTCCCCCACTCCCCTATATTTGTTCACTTGAAGTTGTGCCCTGTGCAGTTGATTTACAGCTGTGTTTGTGCAGTTAGGATTGCTTCTTCAAAGACAGCAATTGGCAAATAAGTACTTGGGGGATTTTAAGCCATCGTTGGTGGGGGAAGATGGCACCTTGGATATGGAACGGTGGTCACCGTTAACCCTGAAGTTGGTGAAATCATTGCCGTACACGTTGACAAACGCTCAAAAGAAGGCAGCCTCTGAAATAATGTGGGATCTTCAAAGACCAGTTCCAATGAGTCGCCTTTTGCAGGTATAGGAAAGGTGTAATTATCTTGGGTTTGGTCTGTTCAGACAAGTTCAATTATCACTCCAAGTGGCATCAAAGGAGGGTACTAAATGCGTCTGCCCTTCAGACTTTGTCAGATATTCAAACGACCATCTCTTGTTAGCTCTTAAAGTTTAAGATTTAAGATATAGACTTCTATATGTAAAAAGAATTGAAAATATCAAAGTTCAATCAGTCCTACGAAACTAATGTAATTGTAGTCCATACATGCATGCAATGTGCTTTCTTTTAGTATCTGTTAGTATCTGTTAGTATATCACTAAGTGTGCTCTTCATGATGTTTTATCGTGATTGCAGGGGGATGTAGGATGTGGGAAGACCGTTGTTGCCTTCCTTGGCCTTGTTGAAGTGATCGATGCTGGTTACCAGGTCAGGTTTATGCCTTACAGTTTGTTGTTCCTTGAGAAAGTTTTTTTTATTCTATTGTATTTTTATTTTTTTCGGTTATACGGTTAAATATGATAGAAGTAAAAGAGATGTTGTGGTGTAGTTTCCGTTTTAGTTAAACTTCGGCATACTCTTGGCAAATTTTGAACATTGTTGCCTCATTTTTCTACGCACGTTCGGGATTTATTCAAAATAATGGGCAACCTATCCCGATGCTGCTGTAAATATTGAGCTGGGGGAGAACACATGCCAACCAATCAGTAAAGATTTAAAGGAGAATTTTCAATGATCATGACAGAATCTTTTTCTGATGCAGGGGGCTTTAATGGCACCTACTGAATTTTTGGCTATTCAACACTATAAAAGAATAATGGGGTGGCTGGAATTTTTGGAAGATCATGAACGACCTCGAGTTGCTCTGCTAACTGGATCCATTCCAGCTGCCAAAGCTCGTATCATAAGAAATGTAAGACCTGCATTTGGAATTTCGCTTTTTATTAGTATCAGAGTCTTCATCTCGGTTTGCAGTAGAAGTCCCACGTGTAGCTGCTATTGTAGTACTTTATAGCTCCTTGCTTCTCGGTTCTTGTAATCTTCTTTTCGGCAGCTATCGAGCTCATGTATCCATTGGGAAGTCGTGGTAACTGGACACCGCATGATGTAAGATGCAAGTAATAGCCTGGCACTCAAAAGCAAATCATTCTGTGTCTTAAACTGTATTTATCTGTGATTTAGACTAACTTGAAAATGGAAAATACCCTGGAATTGTTTTTTCAATCTACTCTGGAACTCGAAGAGGATCTGTGCCACATCCTCTGGTTATTATGCATGAAAGATATGTATGTGGATGAATATGCACAGGGATTGGAGAGCGGGGAGATCGCGCTCGCAGTTGGGACCCACAGCCTCATTTCAGATAGCGTTAGGTTCGCAAACCTTGGTTTGGCTGTTGTGGATGAGCAACACCGTTTTGGTGTTGCACAGCGTGGGCGTCTAAATAGCAAGGTTAAGATGACATAGCTCTTCTTTTTAGTTACTTGATTTTCTGTACATCTAGTCAGGTCAATGGTTTTCTTTTGTTCTTTTCAAGTGTCCATGCTCGTGTAATGAATTTCTCTTTAATTTATGTAATACTTCTACCTACATCATGTAGTGCTAAGAGTTGATAAACTTTTGATGTCCCAGGCTCGAGAAAATGGTGTTGTGCTTAGTGGTGTGGGCACTGAGTTGACTGAGAGTAGGGATAGCGAAGCAGAGGGAGCTTCTGCAGTTCTCCTGGGTGCTCCACATGTCCTAGCTATGTCAGCCACACCCATACCTCGTACTTTGGCGTTGGCAATGCACGGAGACATGTCAATAAGTCAGGTACTTTTCCTCACCTCCTGTGTTCTACTAGCTGCTAGTCTCTGAAAGACCTTGCATATACAGTTCAGAGACTATGGTTTCTTTTGAAAATAGTATTGCTATCAGTAAGTTTTGTGACTCTGAACTACGTAGAGGTTTGACTTTAGCCGTTGATAATTGTCCTCTGGAAGTAGTGCACCTGCATTTGGGATCCTTGATGCTTGAGAATATGACATAGTTCCAAGTTTTAGATGAACAGATAACAGAGTTGCCACCTGGACGACCTAAGACCACTACTCTTACATTTCAGAGCAACGAAAAAGGCCGCCGGGAAGTATATAAGGTCTTGTTCCTTCCTATTGACAGCAACTCTCATTTTCATGTTCTGATCCGCTGTAGCTAAATATATTCCGTTTATGTATGGTCATAATTTAGTACTTTGTCTCAAAAGTTACTTCAATTTGTGTGGGCTAGTTGTCAATAATAACATGCATGCTTGTACTATTCGCAAGGTTAGTGCACATAGGGCTGTAAACATAGCGAAGCTTATCGTATGGAGATCCTTTGCTGTCATTTAGTGCTCAGCCATTTCTATTGTATTGACTTGCTGTCTCTGAGATTTCTTAAAGATGATTTCATGGGGATCCTTTATAAATCCCTGGTTAAAAATCTCCAACATCTTGCACTATTCTCGAGTTAGTAGTCAAGAAATGTCGAAAGCGTGTACCTACAGTCACACACTGATTTTCTTTATGGCGCTCCTAATGGTTTTATATTTCCTGTAATTTATTAAGTTTGGTTGACCAATAATTTGTTAGATTCTAATTGTTTTCACTGGTTGAGGCACGTTGTAGATGATGAGAAAGGAGCTGGAGTCTGGAGGTAGGGTATTTGTAGTGTACCCTGTCATTGAATTATCAGAGGAGTTACCAGAACTACGGGCAGCTGAAACGGAGTTTGAGGCAATTACGGAAGAGTTTGAAGGGTTCCAGTGTGGACTTGTTCATGGTCGCATGAAGGTTCTGAACATTGCCATCACAAGTAGCATTTTGGCTTCGAGGACACTCATTCTTGCATTTTATCTTATCAGCATAACAAATGTTGACGCTTATTTAGCTAACCGATTTTTTTTTGCATGTGGTTTTCCTGCTTAGGCTCATGAGAAAGAAGCTGCAATGGAACTTTTCAAAACTGGCAAATCACAGATTCTAGTTTCAACGACTGTTATCGAAGTTGGAATTGACATTCCTGAGGCATCTATGATAGTTATTGAGCATGCTGAACGATACGGAATGGCTCAACTTCATCAGCTAAGGGGACGTGTAGGACGTGGCATTAGAGATTCCAAATGTGTACTACTCGGATCTTCTTCAGCGTCTCTAAATCGTCTGATGCTCCTTGAGAACTCTAATGATGGGTTTTACTTGGCGGAGGTAGACCTAAAATTAAGAGGACCTGGGGATATGTTAGGAAAAAGGCAGTCTGGTTTTCTTCCAGAGTTTAGCATTGCAAGGCTTGATCAAGATGGAGAAATTTTGGAGCGTGCGCGTGCTGCTGCTGAGGTATGGATTTACCAGTCAACGAAAGAGTGTTGTTGAGATTATTATGCATGAATTTTTCTTCTGCTAAATTTGTTTCCAAATCTTAGCTCGCATTCACCTAATGAAATTTGATACATTTGAATTAACGATTCATTTCGAAAGATGACTGATATCTGTGTTTTGTTTTACAGGAAACTCTGGGAACTTACCACGGTCTTGATGGTTTACCTCGTGTCAAGCAGGAGCTGAGCATTCGTCGGCCACCGGGTTCTTTAGGATAATGTTGAAGTGTAGTCTAGCTTTATTGGTCTGCTCCTCTCGTGTTCCAGTCGGTGACGGCTGGTATGCCGCACTACCATTTGCAACTGGTGTCCCTCACTTCTATTGGCGAACCATCCATTCAATATTAGAAGGATAATTGTACAATTATCTCGCTCATACTTTAGAAAAACAGGTATTGTAAGAACATTAATGCCAATAAATGGGGAGAACTGGCAGTGTAAAATCATTTGAGCTAAATGCCCAAAGTAACCCAATATTGGATCTACAGAAAAATTCCATTTTTTTTGTATGAATTTATGTATAGTCAACCTCAAAATAATGGTAATATATCACACATATTAAAAACAAACAATGGTGTTTGTTTGTACAAATGTAAATTCATAGTGCATAACAATGAAACCTTATTTAACATCGCCAACCTATCAATAATCGGAGTTGTTTGTAAATGCGATTGTTAAAGATCCAAATGAAGCCTTGTTATTAAATCTAACAAAGATGGAAGAATTGGCCTTGAATTTGGCTAAAGATAAGGAGAAACGACATAAGTCTTCTAATACGAGACCTAATGTATGGTGTAATAATTATAAGGAACAAGGTCATTTTGATATGGAATATCCATCACCCGGACAAACGGGTGTTTAATGTACATTTTGTGGAGGAAAGCACCATACCCAAAACTGCTGGTATTTACAAAGGCAACAACAGTTCAATAACGAGACGTTAATATAGCCAACTCAATGGGATATTAATCAAGTATAGACTGGAAATATAGGTGGTTGGAATAGTAATCGCCCAAATCAACCTAATCGTGGCTTTGGAAATTTTTAAAATACTAATTATAATCTGGTTTATGGAACAAATACGCAGAACGGTGGAAATAATTGAGGGGATAATCCCCAAACTATATCAATTCAACAGTCCAATTCTCGACCAATAGCAATTGGTCAGCCATGATCATTTACTATGGCTACTTGGAATTGGCGTAGTATATATATTCTAGTGGAGACTCCAAGTATACTTGATGGTATGGGCCGAAAACCACTACATTGCTACCCGTGCCTACAAATTGGTCATTATACCAGTGAATGCTCTAATCCAAGGTTTATAGACGAATATGCTCCAGTATGTAGAAATTACAAGCAATCAAGTCATTTTCATTATCAATGCAATGTTCCATTTAACCCTAATAATCATGATCAGAAGATACAATCGACTGTGTAAATTATAGAAGAAAAAAATAACGGGATACAAGAATCACTAGTTCATCGTGTCGAAGTAGTCGAGCTTTCCTTACAAGAAATCAGCAAAGAGATAAAGGACCAATTCAAATATTGGAGGAAACAATTTTTTTGATATTATTACTATTAAAAATAATTTTAGAACATTTGAAGTTAGATGTAAGTTAAAAATAATAATTTTAACCAAGTATTTAATCGACTAATAACTTAAGACAATAAATTTGTCATTATTGAGTAAATCTAGTGCAGTTATTGTACTATTTGTAATAATAATGTTTAATCGGTTGAATGACCACTAAGATAGGATAATTTTTTACTAAAATAGATAAAAAAAATCTAGTTAGGACAAAGATTGAGGATAGGATGGTAGCTAGAGTTTAGAAGATAGTAAGGACTTTTATCCTTCTCTCTTCAAAGGTATTATTACTATGATTGTTATTAGAGGGTGGTAGGAAGATGTGAGAGGTTAGAAATTGGACTGGAAGGACTAGAGGGACTTAGAAGGCCAATTTAGGCCTAATATACACAACTCATAATATTATATGAGCAATATTGAGACTCCTAGGATTAAAGAGGCAAAACTATATCATGTGTGTTAGATCTTGTCTTATATAAGCAATTTTGGATCAATCTAGTATGTGGGTCTTATAGATCACATGATTTTATATGTGGATTTGTGTTAGATCTAAGTAAATGGACCAGATCTGGCCATACATCTGAGTTTCAGAGATTCAAGACAAGACACTATCAAGGACAATGATAGGGCAGTATTTTATTATTTTGGAGGTTTAACAAGCAAGTGGTTATTACGATCCTTCAAATGAGCCTAAAATCTCTCGTTCACAACATGTTAATTAGAAACTATATGATTATTAAAAAAATTATACTACTTTTTGTTGAAATCTTTCAACATGTTTTTGTTAACTTTTTGTTATAAAATATATTTTATTTTATTTTATTTACAAAGTTATAATTGACATTAAAAAAATCAGTTTTAAGTCATGACAAGATAATAATCTAACTTAACCATATTATTTATAATTTATTAATTTTTAGGTTTATAAGATTTTACATTAAAATTCTCCATTCCTGGATTTTATAGACTGAAACACCTCTTCACATTTCTAAGACAAATGATCTCATCTTACAAGGCACAAACTAAACATTTTTATTGCCATATCTGAAAAAGTTGTGTTACATGACAACTATAGTATTTATTAACATTACATGGCAGCAATTGACAATAGATCATATGAGTTTGAAGAAATCTATACAATAGGTAGAATTTACTTTTCATAAATAAATGCTTAGGAAGTTTGATTTTTTTCCTTATTATTAATGAAATGACATTTGAGTATCAACTTCAATCATAAAAATGGTTGATGAGAAAGTAAACAGACATAGTTAAGACATACAATCAGTAAACAGACATAGTTTCAGTTTTGAGCAAAATTATAAGCAAATTATTTGAGGGAATTCCAAGGAAGGTGATAAATTGGAAGTCAAAATTCTAGTTTGATATAAATCACAATACATTCTTCAATTTATCACCTTCTTGAATGTATTGTGATTTACATCAAAGTAGAATTTTCGGAAGATGCTTCAGAGCCTCTCTTAATTTGGAAATATTGGTTGTTTCAATGAAGGCTTTCAATTCATGTTCCAGTGGGGATGCCCATCCTTCTAAGTATTTAGATTGCACTCATTATTAAAATTTATAATCCATATCGAGGCTGTTCACGTGCATTTTCCTTAGTTTTGACGAACAGGAGAAAGAAGAAAAAAACAAAAATAAAAAGGATATTGCACGTTGTAGAAATCAACTTTGCAGAAGGTGTCGTCCCATCCTGCACTGTGGGGTCGATGAGGGATATCAACGCCCTGGACAACGAACACACCTCTGCCCATCTTCATGGTCATGCACTAGTTGGAAGAGAATCCAGCCCACTTTCCGAGCTCATGATGGGATTTTCAAAGAGCAATGGGAGTAAAGGTAGTTTCACAGAGCACTCGAAATATGATCACGTCGAGCAGCAATACTGTGTGAGAACAAATTTGAACCATCATACCTGACTCTCTGAGTGCTCGCTGAAGTGGTGTGTTAGGCCCTTTCATGCCCAACTGCAGGCAACGAAGAACCAAGAGCTGGACATGAGCAGTTGAAGTCCCAACTTCGATCAGGATTTGTCCGTGACCGACAGGACCTTTACACAAGTATCAGATTACCATTGATTCATGGCATCAATGCAGGATAATTTGCGCGGAGCGAAGACATTGTTGTGATTTTGATGAAGATGCTGCAGACTATTTGTAAAGTAATACTGATTCACAAGAAACAAATGTTTCGTATCAATTTTGCACACAGTTCCTAATCAATCTGAATGTCCTCCGGAATAGAATCGTCACTATCGACAGCTTGATTGTCATTTATATCTATGCCAGCCGCTTCAGCGGTCTTGGCTACCCAATCTTTCAGAGGCTCCTCATTGAGATCAAGTCGCAGCAATCCCGCAAACATACCACCCAGGAATGCAATTGGCTCCTGCTCATAACACAGTCAACCACACAAATTTCAAGTGATGTCTTTGTAACAAATAACCAACCTTCAGAATTGACAAACAAAATGAGATCCGTTCAATCATTCAGATGAGAGAAAATCTACAGGAAATGGTCCGAGAATTTTGTCGATGTGCATTTCAGAATATCAAGTCGAACCTTCATGGCTTCCTTGAGGATAGGATCATCCAACGGGTTCAGTACTGCTTTGATAGATTGCGAAGCAGGACTCTTCTTTCCGCATCCTAATCTGAAGACCTTAGTGTGACGTACGCATGGAGCAGCTCTTAAGCCGCAGAATGCCTGCACAACATTCCCAGTAATCAGAGTGAGACTCTCAGACGTCTGGTACAGGTAATCAATTTCAGAAATCCAATGTCGTAGAGTACCTAGGGTGGCATTCGGGTGCGAATTTAAAGCATCCATCATCAGTTACTAAGGTATAGTTGATCAGGGAGTTTATTTCCTTGCTACCCACATCCAAATCTAGGACTGATCCGAACTACCAAAATTCGGAAAATGCACGAGTTTCCCAACTAAGCTAAGATATTCTCTCCACTAGCACAGAGGCTCAAAAAGTGAAGGACGTAAGCTTCAACGCTTTTAAACTAGCCAGATTAAAAGGTTAGAATCACAGAGGACATAAACGAAGTTGCACACTGCGACTTTATGTAACTAGTTGCAAGGTAGATTTCTGCATCCTCGTCATTAATGCCCACATAATACTAAATGGCGAAAATTCTTCATAAATGTCACAAACATATGCCTCTCTCAACCTCATGCAACACAAGGCTAATACGGATCTCAAACCTGGTTCTATACCTATTGTAACCCAGGATATACAGAATAAATTAATCGTGAGGAAGCATGCTAACATTAGGGTAATATTTTGAGCGACTTCTAAAGAGTACACCGAAAGTTAAAGGAAGCAGAGAATCTTCACAGTAAAATTTTAGCAAGGATTACGATAACACGTAAAAATGATAGGGCACAAGTATCCAAGTACCAATTGTAGGACTGGAAAAAGCACACTCTGTAGCGTCTTGTTCCTCCTAATAGTTTGCAATTTCCATGACCGGCCAAAGTTTACAAAAACTATGCAGGTAAAACCATTAGGTTATTTGATTCAAATAAATAAAGAAATAAATAACTAATTGGATACAATGAAAATTTCGAAAAAGTGAAATGCAGAAGATACAATAACAACACAAAGAACAATAAAAAATAGAGTGGCAAAATCCAAAAAATCTAGCGTTCATGTATCCATAGGTTTCACTTTTTCGAAATTTGGGGGGGGGGGAGTTGTGGAGAGACCGGTAAAAAGGGTGCCGAGTGAAGCTGTAACGACGCCATAAGGAAGGATTGAAAAGAGGAATTGAGCAAAGGAAGCAGAAGCGAGGAAGAGGGTTTGAAGGATTGGAAAGCTGGGGAATGGGCACAAGCGAACACCGAGTGAAGGCGAGACGGAGATAGAGAGAGGGGAACGGAAGGAGCTCATTCGCAAGCTGGGGAGGAAGAAAGTAAATAAGCGAAGGAAGTTGAGGTGGGAGTAGGATAGATAGATAAGGAAAGACACGCACGCACACGCACACGCACACACACATAAGCACACACAAGAGAGAGAGAAACAGGGAGGCGAGGTGGGGGATGCGTGGACTTGGGGGCAGGGCTGGGCTGGGCAGGGCAGGCAGGCAGGCAGGCATTGGAGGGTGGTGGCAGTGCCAAGTGGGTGGATGAGTGGATGCATAGGTGGCAGGATGTTGGATGATTTTCATCTTCTTCTCAACCAGCCATTCCATCCCAAGACGACGACCACCCCCACCACCTCTCGCTCATCCTTCTTTCTCCCCTTGTTTGTTTGCTTGTTTGCTTCCTCTCTCTCTATATATCTCTCCTCCCGCCCTCCCCCCCTCTCTTCTCTTCCATCTTTTCTCCAACTTCTCATCCACCTATTTCTTACTTTTCATTCACTTTATCATTTTCTATTTTGTATGTCTTTTTATTTCAGAAGAAAATATTAAAATAGGACGATCAAAAAGTTTTTTTAATTAATTTATGTGGTCTAAAAACTCCCTAGCAGATTTTTTTTTCTGTGATAACACTTTTAAACCTATTATTATCAAAAAAAATATATTAATTAATTAGATTATCAAAGAAGTATTATTTGAAGATTATTTAAAGTCTTTGAAGAAGAAATATAGAATATAAGTGATAAAAAAAAACAGATATATATACATAGATATATATATATATATATATATATATATATATTCAAACATAATGTTTTTTTGAAAAAAAAAAACATATTTTGCAAAATATAATAATATTTTAGAGTTTTATAATAATAAAAATACATAAATAAAAATCACAAAAACAAAGAAATGTTTCCAAATGGTTATTGTTAAGATACGAAAAGTCTTCTGAACCACAAACAAGAAAGTAAAGAAAAAAAGACACAACTTGACTAGAATTCATAGGACTGGATTTTATTATTGAATTGTATTACTTGCAAAGAAAAAATATTCCTGCATAATCTTCTAATAATTTATGATCTAATTTGTGAATAAAATATCCATGACGTGATTATTAATATTATTTTTTAATATTTTATAAAAACACTTTAAAATATATTCTTACGATACTTGTTGTCAAATTTATTATAGAGGTAGTTATTTTCAAAATACATGATTATACTTCTTTTTTTACAAAACATCCAAAAATTCATTAGAATATTTTTTTATAAAAAATAAAAATTTATTTTGAATTTTTTGTCGATAATATTGGTATTTTTCTACAAATGAATCTATTTTAAATATTCTATAGATAATCTTCTATTTTAAATATTCTATAGGAATCAACATGTAATTTTTGAAAAAAATATAAATTGAATTAAAGATTTTTTAAGAAATTAAGAAATAAAAAATAATTAAATTTATAAAATATAAAAAATAATTATTTTTTGTTTTACTTAGAAATACTTATTTTTTCAAGAAATTTTATTTTTACTCTATATATACCTTATTTTAGAACATATAGTTCTTGTTAAAAACACAATTATTCATGTTCAATTTCTTACATGGTTTTTTATCTTAAGAAGTTTTTTTTATTTCTTAGAATAATTATAAAATAATATTTATTTAAAATGCAATAAAAATTCTACATCTTAAATCTAGAGCAAAGATTTTCTTTACATAAACAACTTTTTGTATGTATCTAGGACATGACTCTATAACAAGTAGTCATATTTACTAATATATATACTTAGATAAACAAAACTAAGTAGACGTAAGTAGAAGTAGGTCAAATTATTAATATCTTATTAGAAAGCTTCTTGGAAGCTTTTTAGAATTTACAAGTGTTTATAAGTGATTGGTAGGTTGATAATATGGCCAACAAGTTGGCCATATGTTGTATGTTTAGCCACTTGTATTACAAGTTGACCATGTGGCAAACATGTTCAAAACTTGCCCTATAAATTAAACTTGTATATTCCAAGTTGGATACATATCATATAGCCTATAGGATATTGATATGTAGTTCTTTAGTAGATAGTATATGTAGAGATAAGAGAGATCTTCTTTACTCTTGTCAATGTCTTTTTTGTGTCCTATCTTAGTTCAAAACTTCCTAATTCTTTTTCATTTTGAATTAGTTAATTTAATTTCAATTCTTCATCTAATTTTTAATTGTGTACTTTCTCTCTTTTAGTGATATGAGAGGTATTATCAGTTTTAGAATTTTTGTTGTGGTTCATATTCTTGTTCAACCGTGACACCTCAATTATAATTTTATGGCGCATTATGCTTTGCACCACTTCTAAAGTTCCATTGCTCTCCTATCACGGCTTCAACATATTACCAATACATATAGGCTCCCACGATGATATTATATTCCAACAACAAATCCAAACCAACAACATTAAATAGAAGTTGTATCTAAGAGCATAATTCAAAGGTGCAATAGGATCTAGGAACAAAAACAGTACCAAATAATATATATATATTCCATTTAAAATTCATTATACCAAAAGCTGAAGGAAAAAAAACCATTCTTGTTAAGAAAAAGATAATGAATCTATTCACAACTTAGTCAAGTTACCTCTTACACCACAAAGAGAGAATCCAAGAATGTAAGTATAAGTAGAAAAAATCCTAAAGCTTTACTAAATGGCTAAATCACCATAATTAAACAAGCCCTTATAACACAAGTTTTTTCTCTTCAAAATCACTCATACAACTTGACTTGATAAGAATTTCTAGTGAAGGGGGTTTTTCCACCTAAGTCTTTAAATTGTAGTTGATACTAACAAAGTCAATTAACAAAAAAAAAAAAAAAAAAAAAAAAAAACTAAGTAGGATAGAAAACCACTAAAATAAAACTAAATTACATACATCCAACAAGATTTGGCATCTGATGCCATATCATGTGGTAGAGATAATCTACTTACTTTTGAAACAAAATAAGTATAGAAAATTAATAGTCTTCTTAAATTGTCCACGTGAACTACAATAAAATTCTAAAAATAAAAATATATTTGTATATTACCAAAATAAAAATATATTTGTATATCACCAAAATAAAAATATATTTGTATATCACCAAAATAAAAATATATTTGTATATCACCAAAATAAATATATATATATATATATATATATATATATATATATATATATATATACAACTAAAAGATAGATATAAAATTGAAATTAAATTGACTATTTCAATATGCCTTGAATCAAGATAGAACTTAAAAAAGGCTTTGACAAGAATAAACAAGACCCTACTCTTACATATATATAGATATATAGATATATATCCTATCTACTAAAGAACTATGTGGCAATGTTATATAAGGCATATGACACTTGTTTAATTTATAGGAGAAATTTTTAACATGTACACTACATAGACAACTTATAATATAAGTGGCTAAATATATAATATGTGACTAAGTTATCAACCAAAAAATTTCTTATAAACACACATAAAGTCTATAAAGCTTTTCAACAAGATATCAATAATTAAATCTATTTCTATTTATTTCTACTTAATTCTACTTATCTAAATAAATATATTAGTGAATATAGGCTATTTTTTATAATTCAATAGAAAGATTTGATGGCCTTCTAAACTAATATAAGTTCCTTTGTGATGGCATTAAGTCCTTTAAGTTTTCACTAAATTAAAAAATCTTTTTTTTGGCATCTATTTAATTATGTTTATACTTAAAAGTAATAAAAATCTATGAAAACAAAAGAAAAGTAAGAAAATATAAATAATATATGTATTAAGGTGCTTACAATCATGTTAAAGATATTCAAGTGATTCAACACTTCAATATTCTTTTTTATGCAAATTTTATATACTTATTCTTTTACACATATTTGACTTGTCAAAAATATTATTATATATAGTATTTCTATTATTATTAATAATTTTAGTATTAAATTCTTATTAATAAAATTATAAAATGAATAATTTAAAATTCTTAATAAAAATCTATAAATTTTTCTTAAGTTAATTTCTTATTATTTTTTATTAGTATTATTTGTAGGCTTTTTATTGAACAAGGCAATCTTTTACCTTTTGTTGCTAAAATCCAAAATCATTTTTGAAGTTAAATATTATTATAGTTAGATTTTTGGATTTAAAATTTTTATTGTATATATTTAAGAATAATAACTATATTTTAAATTCAAAGATGTTTGTTATATAGAAATATAAACAAAAAGTATATTTTAAATATAATTCATTAGAAATTAATAAAATGTAATATTTTTTTGGTGATAATTGATTATGTATTTCAAACACCACTTTAATGATAAATTTGTATCCTTTTAATATTAATTGTAAGAAAAGCTAATTCAAATTACAATCTTTTATTTAATATAGTGTCAACCAACATATCTGATTTATATTAATTAATTATAAACAGATTTTATTCATTTTTAATCATAATATCTTAATTAATTGATCTAATACTACAATTATGATATTAGAATATTTTTAAATCCATAAAACTATGATAAAATTTGTCAAAATAAAAAAATCTCATCTATTGAAGAATATTGTACAAAGTATAATTATTTAAACAACAAACATCAAAAAAAATATCAAAATTATTAATCTAAAGCTTTTTTTAAAATTAATATATTTCTAAAAAAACTAATTTAATTTATCTACATAAACATTAAACTTCAATATTATATCAATCAATTATATCAAATTGAAATATATCCAATCTTTAATAAGATATTGTGTTTTTCAAATTTTAAACTTACAAAAGTTAATATGTAAACATAATTCTATAAAAATATCAATGTTTTATAATATGAAAACAATATATATATATATATATATATATATATATATATTCTTAAAGTTTATACCAAAATTCAATAAGACATGTAAGATATAATATAAGAAAAAATTGATAAAATAAATTGATAAAATAAAAATAGATATATCTTTTAAGAACTTAATAATATGATTTAGGTTATATATACTAAATTTAAAAATCTATAATTAAATAAAGGAAGTTGATAAAGCCACAACTCCCTTGCTATCTTGTAATGAGTTCCATCTATCTTCTACCTTAGTCCTCCATTAATCCCCTATCTCCTATTTCCTCTAAAGTTTGTTTAGGTGAAAAACATTGTTTATAACAATTTTATTTTTTTATTTTTATTTTTCTCTTAGAATTCCGTTTTCCACCCTGTTTTTTCAAGTTAAAGGTAAAACCAATCTAAAATTGATAAATAATAAAAATTCCTTTACTTGAAATAAAAGAATAAAAAATGGAATCCGAGAAAAATAAAATAAAATGTTACAAACAATCGTATTTACAAAAATTAACTTCATTACTACAAACCAAATTGAGTTTTCATCCAGGAAACGAGTTCCAGATAGGGGATGGGGAGGTTGAGAATAAGGTATGGGGGGGGGGGGATTGGAATGGGAGGTTTGGAAACAAGGGATGGGAGGATTGGAAACAAGGAATGGGAGGCTTGGAAACAAGGGATGGGAGGCTTGGAAACAAGGGATGGGAGGGATGAGAGAATAGAGGGCTAGGAGAAAAAGACTAGGGATTGGAAACATGAGATGCAAGATGGACAAACTAATCATGAGATGGCAAGATATGGCAAGGGAGGAGAGGGAAGTGTGGCTTTAAAAATTGGTTGTGGCTTTAATATCTCCTTAAATAAATGATGAAATTTTGGATTAGAAAAATGATTATTTTTTTCAAAATCTCAAATAATTTTGATATGTTTTTATATGTTATTGTAAAATTAATTTCTTTGTTTATTGTTCATTGTTTCAAATTTTTTAAAATGTATAAACCATAGTAAAACTAACAGAATATTTTAATTTCTTTAAATGAAGTTAAATATCAAATTAGATTTAGTGTACAAGTATGTCGACTCTGTTGAACAAGTGAAGCTGTTTATAAATATTGGTTACCAAAATGAAGAAAGAAACTATATGTGAGATTTCCAAGTTCTTTCACCTTTATCACATTGGGCTGCATATTATCTTTGACTCATTAGTGATAAATCTCAAACATCACTGTTTTAGACGGACTCATTATACATTCACATGTGTTTGCAAAAGGTGTTTGTTCTATTCCAAATGCTTTCTTCTTAGTTATATAAACTGTAATATGCATATTTTAAAACTTTAGTGGATTAGATATTCAAAATTAAGTATAAATGGCCGATTAGTAAAAATATTTAGGCTATGGTATTTTGTTCACCTAAGTAAATATAATTCACAAAAACCGCATTCATTAAAATCATATATATCTATAATTATTTCAGAATTCAATAAAGTTAATACAATTTTTTGCACTTTTCTGAAATCCTCAGCATCTTGTGACTTCCTCCTGGTATCCGCGCCCATCCTTGCTGAGTGCGTTGGACTCCTGTAGCTGACTCCTCCCAATAACATTAGTTCAAGAGCTTGCAACACCATGCATCATTCGCCACCATTCTGCATTCCTTACAACTTAGCACTTAAAGCACAGATGCTAAGCTCAAGAGTGGTTCCACGACACGACAGCCTTAATGACTCATTTACCCCAATTCATTCAGCTCAAACATCAAAACAAGACTCACGCAGAACCATCTAAGTGTCCACAATTTAAAAAAATTCGGACCAACCCCGCATGCAAAGTTGCACACAACCTCATAGTTACTCTCAACTCAATAAGCGCGTGTTGCTTAGTAACATGGGATAACATTCTGAAGTCCGTTCAATACCTTCCATGTGCTTCATAACAGAGGATGAATGGTCAGGGAAACCACATTGACATTGGGAATCCGAACCGACAAGAATCCAAATACAGAAGGCTGAAACAAAGAGAAATAAATAACATGATTCGGATAAATGAACATGGGATTACGCAGCAGAAGAGCCCTGCACCAATTGAAATTCCAAGCACAATTTAAAGAATCCTCGAATGTCCTCACCTAACCCCTGATCTTCAGCAAATATGTGAAGAGGCATGGACCAAAAGTATCAAAGAAAAGCAATTCGGACCTTTATGTACAACGTCAACATCTGACTTGGAAGGTTGAAAGTAAACCAGGTGCCGATTACAGTCTGCAAACCTAATTAACAAAGAGACCTCTGTTGAAGCTTCACAACAAAGGACATCAAGGTTTGCTTATCCAAGAAAAAGTTACCTGATTTTACAATGATTTCATGAGGAATATCTTTGAACTACTGATTGTTGATCAACCGGTTGATTAGCTAATGGCACACAGAAAGAGCAAAGCTTGACGTCTCCCGCCAGGGAAACCTCAAAATTCCATCCTTCATGAATATGTAGCCGAGTCTACGATAAACCTTGATGTAAATAGACTGCAGAAGAAATCTCCCAGTGACTAATCACCACTTTACTCGGCAGATAAAGACAAAGAGCATACATCAAACACGTAAGATCTGAAGCTTGGTGGAAAAGGCTATTGCAACCCAATCAGGTTGTGTTGATGACCATTGCAACTGATTGATTTCTGCTCCAGCAGTGTAGGCTAATATTGGGTCTAAGTTGCCCTCTACAGGTTGGCTGATCGATGACAAATCCCAAATAAGAGCCTGCATAACGTTGGAATCGCACATAAGATTGTTGTGGAAATATGAACATTTGGGAGCACAAAAGCAGACCGATGATAACCATCCACACTGCACGTATTTGTGCAATGGGAGCTATGAATCAACAGCTTGCTGATTTCTGATGATTACCTGTGAATCATCTCCAGCTGTGCATATGTGACAAGGGCTATGAGGAGCCCACGCCACAGAATTGACACATGCTTGGTGCCGTTGGAGCTCAGCAACTGGTACAGTCGGCACACGGATGTCCAGAATCACCACCTTTGAACTGTCCATCAAGATAGTGGCTATGTATCGAGGGTCCTGTTTGTTCCATCCCAATCGCAGAAGAGGCGTGTCGGGCTGCGAACTCTCATATATAATCGTAGAGTGCTCCTTATCCCTTAAATCAAATACACGAACAGACCCATCCGCAGAGACGGAGGCAAAGACACCAGCACCTCCCCAAGCGATATCATAAACTTCTTTGTCATGCGCTATAAGTTGTGTGTCCACCACTTCTTTTTCAATATCCCAAATAGTACATGTAGTATCAATGCTCGACGTCCCCAGCCGCTTGGGTTCAGCCTCATTCCAATCGAACGAGGTTAGCGGGGCACAATATTCACTGTACTTGTTATTGTTAAGAATACTTTTACGTTCCACCTTATCATCGTGGATCTGCCACCAAATTTTTATTAAAGATAGATAATTATTTTTTAGTTAAAGAGGGGAAAGATGTTTAATTTTATTTTAAAAATGAATGGTCGACCATAAGTGATTGAAGATTGGATTCCACCACAAAATAAGATACATAAATGAACATTGAAAGCTCCAAAAATTAAATCGGACTTCGCGAGTTCTGGCATGTTTTTTCAAATAATTTAACTAAATCCAAGAACAAAAAGCTCTAGCATACAACAGTTCAGATCACCAAAAATGCTAAGAGTAAGACCTTCTCTATCCTTTGAAGAAGCAGAGACGATTTCCCTAATTATTTTTCTGAACGAAGGTGTCTCCAAAATCAATGCTAATTCATTGTCAACTCAGAAGACAACATACCTGCCATATGCGTAGATAGTCCCCAGTAGTAGCCAGCAAATCCGGTTTTTGACATTCTTTATCAGGAATGAACATAATTTTAGTGGTGGGGTAAGTATGCTCAAAAGAGAGCTTCGGGTCCGCCTTAAAGTCGCAAGTCTCATCATCAAGCTGCACTATCTCCACCTTATTGCGATGGTCTTCAATAAAAGATCCAATTGCAAGACGCATATGCTTGTCTTTACGAACGCTCCAGTTCATACCATATATAGGCCAGGGGGCTTCATATGTGTAGATTTCTGACCTTCGCTGGGGCTCCTGCCCATACATATCTATGCTCGAGTCATGATCCATTAATCCCACCCACGATGTTCTCGAACCGCGAATGCGCGTAGACGTCAAAGATCAATACGTCATTTTCAAAACATATATCACACTTCCTGCAAGAAAGAATCATAGAAAGAGCTTAGTCAACTAATACCATTCTAATGACTGTTGAGACTCGTGTTCAGATGCAGAATAAGGCAGAGCCCTAATAAGCCTCTTACGAGATCGATGCACAAATGCGAATTCCGACATGCCTCAACGCCACCACTTACCACAAGTGAAGTGTCTGAACCCTAAACTCCAGCAAACTTGAGCAAACCGAAAATACGAAGGAGCAGAGAGATGCCCGAACACCTAAGTGAGGGCTGTAACAGCGACTTGAAAATGATACCGGCAGCACAAAGAAAGAGAATAGGGACCACAGCGGCCAGGAGGAAGCCAAAATCTCAAGGACGAGGCAATGAGAGCGGGAGCAAGGTTAGAGAGAGGGAGGGGGCAGAGGAGCATGCCAAGGCAGGTGAGCAAGGAGGGGGGGTAGAGGGAGCGAAGCGAGGGGGAGGGGGGGATGAAAAGAGGGAGGGAGGGAGGGACGCGGGGGACAAAGAGGAGGAGGAGGAAAGGGGATATCACGGCGCACAGTTAGCAACCGACAGTCAGTCCCTCAACACCACCGCCGCAGCAACAGCATCGGCACCCGCATCATCGCAAAACCCCCCCCCCCCCCTAATGAGCACTGGAGATGCGGGCCCGCCAACGAACCATCTTACCAACCAACTAACGAGGGGCCTTCGCACGTCAGCACCCCCCTCATAATAATAATATCTTGCCCTGTCCTGTCCTGCCCTCGCTTTTCCCCTCACCGGCTCTCTCGGTGGCCCCTCTCCATCCACATGGGCTGGATGGATGCACGGCATAATTTCCCATCAGATGGTCTTCATTCGTGTGTCCATCCATTTCTGACCAAGAGGGCTTCAAAAATGTTTTCCACTCGCTTCTTATTATCCATCACATCTTGACCAGAATCAAACTGTCGTCAGCTAAATTCTTAAAACCACAATCAAATGCCTCATTCTTGGAATTGCATTAGGAACGTCCCTTGTTCCTTGCCCCTCCCTGTTCATTCCTCATTTCATTTACTATCCACATTGAGAACGTTGATTCATTTTCTAACCTTATTACTAAAATATTGGTAACAACAGTAGAATAAATTTTAATTCAATGCAATGCAATCAAAAGATTGAACCCTGGAACTAAGTTTTAAATATAGGAATTTATTTTCAAAAACACAGTTGGGTGACACAACGTACATTCTCATACAATGAGAGTTAAGTGTGCTCAATGAGGGTGGACCACTCTCAGAGAGCTCCAACACTCCTTATCACCCTCATTTTGCTTGATTTGATGATATGAAGCAAGGTGGGTTAAGTAGACAAATCTCCGATCTCGACTTCCACTTGAACATTGCTCAATAGATTATCATTTGTATATGCCTATGTCGAACTCTTCCTCTAGTAAATGTTTCTATGCTATAAATGGAGGTCAATTGGTAAAGGAATTATTTTGCATGACAAGAAGGTTCTCAACAAGGAGATCTCCAATTTGAAGCCCAGATTTAGACAGAAACTCCGTTTTATTTATCAACCTAAACCACATTGTTTTAAAATGTTGCATCTATGCTTCGACTACTCACACCTTTAGACAACCCTCATTATGCTTAAGCTATGAACTACCAAATTAAACAATCATACTAAAATTCTCATTTGAATAAATATTAATTTCAGCTATTCATCCTCCCCATTCACCCTCCTTAATACAAAACTAGAGGGTTGATCCTTGACGGCCATAGAAGCAGATTGGAATTATAGGCCAATTATAGGAACAGTGATTGCCCACTTGTTCATACACTACTACCTAATGTTAACTTTGGTTCTTGATAAGAGTATGATCAAATGGAGGACACCACTCCGCAGTAGCACATTAAATTGGATGATTCAAGTGGCTCCCACATATTAAGAGGCTGTCTGTGAGGTACTGGCCACTTTCAATGAATCACGCACTCACATGACTACGCAAACACTTGAGAATTCAGAAACAAGTTGCCGAGTTCACTAAATACACATAATACAAGATTTCAAGGTTGATCGAGTTTCTGTCTAAGGGAATCTGTCCATTTCTTTTGCACAACTGTAGTCTTGAAGGTGCATGAACTCAATGGATCAACTTGCTGTACGACCAGGAACGTTGATAAATCAAAGATGATCTAGGAATATCTACGAATATCTAGAAACAAATGAAGAGGATGTAAAGCAGAGGTCAATTATATCTAGAAAAGAATGTGACTTCACAAACTAGGGAGCGAAGCTAAATTATAAGCTACAACCATTACCTAGGACAAAACAGACTGCTGTAAATCGAACACATAAATGCTAGCTCTCCTATGCTATTCAAAGAGAGAAGGAACTTGAAATTGAACCAGGAATCACTCTACTAAATACACAGCACGCAAAACAAGACCATCGAGTCCGAGTTCAGTCTTGCTTATGCAAAATTTTAGAATTTTTTCTAAAATCAAATAGCCATCTTCGTAAAGTATATCCTGATTACTAACAGATTGTAAATATATTGAGCGCTTCAAAACCTTACAGTTCATCCTTTTCAATGCCTCCTGAAGTGTCCTAGGAAAGCCACGTACTAGCAAGCTTAAAGAACCTGACACAGAGTAGCTTAATTCTACCCACTTTCATCGCACGGGGCCATTCCATCTCACAACCCACGGATGGTTGGCTACTGCCTCCAAACTGAGCCGGTTTTTAGCATCTGCAAATGACTCCCGACAACATACAATAAGATTATGCCTTTCAATTTCTTCTGAAAAAAGCAAAGCGTTACAATACCCACCAGAATTCTTATCGCCGTTTCTTTGAACTTGTTGCTTATTACCAAGAATCGAACAGCTTCACATCAAGTTATACGGAACAGAAGAAGCAACAATACAACGACGGTAGACTATGCTAATCAGTTCATGATCGCTTATGAAAAATGCAAATATGTTGGGCAGATGAACCAGCGCAATGACAAGGAATTACCTTTGCACAGCAGTCCTCTTAATAAGTCAGCGAGATCTGGCTCCAGGTGACCAGGAATTTGAAGAGGATCGTTTACAATCTGTGCCATATCAAGCATCAACATCTACATCAGATAAACAGGGGAACACATATAAAGATTACCAATTTTGCATTCGTCATATCTAAACCTTATTAAAAATAATTCTCCAGCAAGAGTTAATATTCTTATTCTGCAAAGTACGCTAGTGCTATGTACCTCTGAAAGATTTGTGATTACATGCTTTGTCATATGCAAGTTATCCCCCTTAAAGGGATTGAATCCCAACACCATACAGTAGAGAGTACACCCCAAAGCCTACACATCTGTTGCTTTTCCATGATAGGTCAATCCTGTTGACCGCCAGAAAATGCTCGTATTAGCTAGGAGCATAGACAAGTATTTGAGCACCCGCATCATGTAAATTATACGCGCAACTCACAAAATAATGCCTCGATCACGCAGGATTACATCATTCAAGTGGTTCATGGAATCAAGTCAAAACCAGATTTTTCGATTACGACATCAAATACAAAATGATCGAGGCAGAAAATCTCTCATCTAAACAGCACTCTAGGGCTATATAAACAGGTGTCCTGGGAGACCTTCGAAGCTCATCGTTTCCATCCTGTAAGAAGTATATTTTTTAACTTGAATGAAGAAACACATGTGAAGAATTGATGCTGAGAAGGAACAATACATCTGTGCCTTCTTCTGCAGTATATCAAACAAATGAGAATTTTACAAAGGCAGCTCAAAAACTCCTCAAACTCGCTGCTGACTCCAAAATTGCAGATTTAAATGTGCACATCAGAATTGACCAGAAGATTTTCTGGTTTAATACCACCATGTATGATGTTCTGAACATATCATAACAGAGAAGCATCTTCCAGTATTAGAGGTCCAATTGAAAGTCCAAGACAGCCAAGGGAAAAACAATTGATAAGAAGGATGGAGAATATGGTAAAGGTCATCTAGTAAGTGTACATTTTTATGAAGATACATAAGACCAGCCACAACATCTAGGAAATATTCACATGCATTGGCATCTCCTATTCCTCCTACTGGTCCACAGCCTTCAAAAATCCATTCTCCTTCCACGTACTCCACAACTGCACAACATTTTAGTAGGTGAAAATGAGATTTCTAGAATCAGCACAGGTACAAAAAATCCCTGGCTGAAATACTATTACAACTGATTGCACTCAAACCCTACTAGTAAAATATCGAAAACTGCAGTTGATGAGCAGATTCGAGAAAGACGTATCTACTAAAGCAAACCACAAACTTAAACCACAAACTTAACCACAAACCACAAACTTAACCCATATAAAGTCCAATAAGAAGAACGGTTTTATAAAACAACTTCTAAGTAAGCTTATTTACTTGGTTCCAGATTAACGATGGGAACTAATGCCGACATTAAAGAGCTTCAAAGAATGAGAGCATATCCATGTAGTAGTTATCACTCTCAGGGTCATCAATAACTTCAACCAACTTCACAATATTAGGTTGGTCTAGCTGCTTCATTATCATAACCTGGTTTAGACAAACCAGTGAAAAACTAGCTATGAGCTACAAATAGAGACGGCATATACAGTAAATAATCAGGCTGTATCTGCATGCACAGGTCACCACGACCAGCCCTTCAAAAAATGCTTTAATATAAAGCAAAAGCTACGACAATAATACTTCCAGGAGTTAAATGATTCCCAATACACCTCTTAAGGTAAGAATGTGAACATGCATATCCTGCAGTAAAATGAGGTGACAAGGCCCACCAAATTGTAGGGTTTAGGGTTTAGGAGAACTGCATGTCAAGTTTTTATGAAATGAGATTGCATTCCAATCTTTACAGCTCCTCGAAAAAATAAAACTAGTGCCACCAACGTTTGACTTAAAATCTAATGGATCACGGAAAAAAACCAATACCTCTCTAAGCACATCAATCATAGCAGTTTCAGTTGGACACCAATTTGCACAACAGAGACTTATGGAATATCTGTAAAAGTAGAGTACACATTACAAAGCTCAATAACACGATTGATAGCACGTCGTGCCACATCCTGAAACACAAGTTGCTCAAACAGGAAGATCTCCAACCCTCATTATCTTAACGTCCATAAAAGTGTAATGATGCAAGGCTTTGTGGATTCACGGATCTTCTATTTAGTTCCACACCGGTTTCTTCAATACAAATATTACTATTTGACCCAATTGTAGATGATATCTTCAGAGACCTTTCCAATGATGAGTTCATGCTCCAAATTACCTTGAGCTCATAGAACATGCCATCCTCTTGACTCCTATGCAATACCTGCTTCACAGCAGGAGCTAGATGAATGATTGTAGTTAAGTCATCTCATGCATAGAGATCCACACCATGTAACATAAAATTGGTCGTCTTTACAACTTCAGTTTTGAACGCGTTGGAAAGATTAGCTGATAATCGAAAGATAATTGCTATGGCAAGGA